CTCCTGATTCATACTAGACCCTTTAGGTCTGGTAGGAATTTTAAGAGGAACCCACCCAAGTAAAAAAAAAAAAGAAAGTGCGTGGGGTTCCCCCTAAAAGTCATACTATGCCCTCTATTTTCCCCTAAGGAGGAATCCCACCCCCAAAAAATAGGGGGGTAAAAACGTGGGGTCCCCCTTAAAATTACTACCAGACCCTTAATCCGAGTACAGGCCTGGCAGGGCAGGAAAGGGGGGGGGAGAAAGCGCCCCCCCCTTTCCATACCAGGCCACATGCCCTCGTCACTGGGAGGGTGCTTTTCCAGGCTCCCCCTGGAAAAGCACCTTGTCCCTGTGCCGATGGGGACAAGAGCCTCTTCCCCCTTTTTTTAGTTAGAACTTACAAAGTGGCATTTCACTAAGTTCAAAGGGCACGGTGTGGTGCGAGGCAGTTGAACCTTCTGTCACAAAAGGGTTATAGCATATCTAAACCCTAAAACAAAAATGTTATATATTGCAGCTTACCCAACCTTAAATGTGGTGGCTGCATTAGTTTTCTTTTTGATCCGGCCACCAGTAAGTCTATTATTCAACTTCCTTTAACAGACCAAGCTGTACAGCAAAAGTAGCACACAGAGGATTGAGACAACCCATTTATCACTGACAGGGGTGTTTATAATGGTCTTTGTTTTATTTATGCAAAACCATTATCCCCACCCTCCAAGATTTAATGTTAGTTAAGTCCATCTAAATCTGCTAGGCCATCAATACTCTGCCCTCCACAGGATGTTGCTGTCCCATGGTGGCTCGGTAAGACAGGAAGTGTGTCACTGGCCAGATCACCAGGTGAAAATAAAGCAAAAAAAAGATAACTAATGCAGCCACCAAATTTAGACCCCATTTATTGTAGGTGCGCGCCTGAACGTGTGGTGCATTTTGCAGCGTTTGTCAGCATAGGGCAGCCCATTAGATTATTATAGGTGAAAAAAGTGGCAAAGAAGCCCATGCAGCAGTTTTAACTGTGAGCTTTGTGTGTTTTTGCATCTCTTTTTCTGCTCTGTTTATTGTGCTGTGTGTAGCTGGTGTGAATGGGGACCTGACACGGGAGTTTACTTAAAAATTCATGAATTCAGGGAGGTAGAGATTTTTGGTGGGACAAGCAAAGTCTCTTCTGCCAAAAGCCTTCTTCCTCGTTCCCTCTATACAGTGTACACATGTTTTGTGTACACTGTATGCGGCATGCATAAATCTCTAAGATGCAGTGAATGGGCTGGGTGCCAGGAAGGATATAACTTCTGTGCACATGCGTTACATCATGCGTCACATCATCAGTGTGGACCCAATGGCCAAACGGGATACCCATGGAAGCCAGAGGTGGCTTTGGTGGAGATGGCGGCGGCAGGAAACAGAGGATTTATTGCAAAGCACTGGAGGAGGGCACGCTTGATAGGTAATGTGCTGTGCATGCTTGCACATTATGGCAAAACCCCACACAGGATGCAGCGGTATATTACTGCTTTCAGGGCCGGTACTAACGTAAGGCTGCACAGGCGGGGGCCAAATCCTTGCACTGGTCCTGATAACAGGCAGTGGTTGTGTCCAAAGGCCGCCTATCAGTCTGCATTTCCATTCAGGGCTTTTAGTTAAATGCTGGTGCCTAGCTGTACTTCTGTCTATAGGTGCCCATACACTTTACAACCCTCACAAGACTTTTGTCTTGCGAGGGTTGTAAAGTACTTAAAAAAACGTACGATCTGCCAATCTTGGACAGGCAGATCGTACTGCAAACAGGCTGTGTGCGCGTGCGCACACCGGCCCGTTCGGCAGTTGTCGAACCAGCAGGCCACTAACTCGCCGAGAATCGTACGATTCCCGTCGGGTTTTCTAGCCTGCTGGTTCGACGGAAGACGTGCGACCGTACAGTAGAAACGGTTGCACGCCTTCCATACACTGCACGATTCTCGTATGATCGCGGGATTTCCCGCGATTCTCGTACGAGAATCGTGCAGTGTATGGGCACCTTATGGCTTGTTCTTTGCATACACTCCCCGCCCCAACCTCAGCTGGGCTGCAGAAGTAGCGAGGCAGACATGGCGGCGCCTTGTTTGCGCTGGTGACAGGCCTGGGGTGTGATGAGGAAAAGCTCTGTCCTGCCCCCCGGCTCTATAAGCGGAATGCAGAGGACAGGAAGGCAGTAAGTTAAGTGGTTACTGTACCTGATGGGCCGGAGGCCTGAGCTACTGTGCGGGGCAATAGTGCTGAGCTGCGCTCTCAGGTTCACCTGCAGGTAATACTGGCCATCCTGCTATATAATGTACAGGCTATATATCCTGTATATAGATGTATAGAACCAATATACAAAATATATACTGTGTCTGCTGCCCCCTGAGCTGTCATTGTACCTCCCAGTGATTGTATCAGACCTGTCACCATCTCCTGGGTCACTTCGAAAGCTGCCCATACACCAGAAGAACTCTGTATGGAAATTGTTGCTTTCAGAATATCGGTTCGATTTGCTAATGGTCACTGCGATCCGATTGATGATCAGGACCGGCGCTTGTGTAAAGCTGCCCATACACTGCTCTGTTCCTTTTCATTCAACCTGCCGACTGAACCAAAAAAATAGAACAGATCCTTCCATCAATGCTACAAGCACATTGATCTCGGAATCTCCTGCTGTTTCCTTGTATTCTGCCGCAGGCAGCTCAGTGGGTGCCGCCTCTGTTCGTACAAAGATTTTCCTTCCATTAGCTGATAGGCATAGGCAGTCGCCTGAGGGTGTCGGGGGGGTGGAAAAATGTACCTTCGTCAAAAAAAATCCTTCGCAAGCAAAAATCCTTGCACTGGCCCTGCTGCTTTAAAAGTAAAGTCCTAAAAAATAATAATAAATGCACAATTCTTCATAGAAAAAATATAAATGCACACGTCTTCATAAAAAAAAAGTATACATGCAGGTTTCTTCTTAAAAAAAATAGCAAATGCTTAATTCTCCAAAAAAAAAAAAAAAAGGACAATTCTTCATTGTCTATGGGAGAACTATGGGGTAAGTGTTTTTCCCCATAGTTCTCCTAAGGGTCATAAACTAGCGTCCTCCCATCACCCAAAGCTCAGTATACCGCGAGCTACAGCTGAGCTACTGAGACGCCGCAGCCAGGACGGATCCGACATTACTGTCTGGATCAGTGGCGTAACCAGAGTTATGGGCGCCTGGGGCAGAACATTTTTTTTCGCCCCCCCCCCCC